TGATTCAGAATGAAGCAGGCTGACTTTAGTTCAAGGCAGTGTGTGTTTTCTTTTTTTGGTTGGGGGAACTTCAGTAAATTTTGTTAGCAATTGGGAACTGGAAACTGATCTCTCCCTAGATAGTAGCACTCCCTTGTATGTGATGAATGGCACCACTAAACACCTCACGATGAATCTGTGTGGAAAGGTAGGAGAAGAGGGGATACCCCCAGGCCATTTTACAGAACTGCCTTTTGGCCACCTCTCCTACGTCAGTGACACCAATGTTTCTCTTCTAATGGTGGGAGTAATAAGCTTTATTTATTTATTTATTTATTTATTTATTTATTTATTTAAAGAGACGGAGTCTCGCTATGTTGCCCAGACTGGAGTGCAGTGGCTATTTACAGGCATGATCCCACTACTGATCAGCACGGGAGTTTTGACCTGCTCTGTTTCCGACCTGGGCTGATTCACCCCTCCTTAGGCAACCTGGTGGTCCCCCACTCCCAGGAGGTCACCACATTGATGCCGAACTTACTGCGGACACCTGATGGGCATAGCACAGTACAGCCCAGAACTCCTGGACTCAAGAAATCCTCCAGCCTCAGCCTCCGGAATAGCTGGGACTACAGACATGCGCCACCGTGCCCAGCAATAAGCTTTTATTTCTTTGGAAATTCATGTCCCATTTCTAGAAATTTTTCAGTGGGCTGAGATGCCTTGAGCTGAAAGCTTGTTAGCTCTTTGCCACTATGTCCAGAGAGGTCACCCACCAAACAAATCCAGTCTGCTGGGGCAGGTGACCACAGCTGTCCCAGATCAGTCACTCTGCAGCACAGACAGTGGAAGAATTTTGGTCCCTTTGCTTTTTCATTCTTCTAACATTCAGGTGGTGGCATTGGCAAGTGCCTCCTTAACCTGGCACATTCCCAGCTTGGTCACTTGATTGGAGCCACACTGCCTGAAATAATCTTTAGTGATCCTATCTCCTATCTAGTCTTTTATTTTGTGGAAAGTGGCAAGTTTTATTTATTTTTGAGGGCTCAGCTCTCTCTTCAGGGTGACATGACTGGGATGAATCATTGAGAACTACTGCTTGTTCACTGTGTTCCCTCTTCTAACCCTTACACTTCTCCAGCACCTCCCTCCTTTGTTGTATCTGATGACGTACACGTTTCATCTTCAAAATAAAAATTTATTCAATCTGTAACAAGAACATTTAATCTGCACATTTGCACACAAGTTCACATTTTAAAACAGCGGAGCACATCAGTAATAAAAAAATCTATGGTACAAGTGGAACATCTCAATCACCAGGAAGATTAAGGAAGGAGATGAGACCACTCTATATTCTGCTTCAAATGCCTCAAAAAGGTCCCAGAGATTCCAGGGAGCACCTGCTTTAATCAAATAAGTTTGGGGTGGCTTGGGGCAAAGGTAACAGTCAGAGGGAGAGTCTTCTGGACTTGTTTTCCATGTTTAGAACAAGTCCTACAAAACAAAGCAGGAAAAAAGAAGAAAGGCACCTTTAGATATGCCAAGCAAACCAAAATCCAACAAAACATAAAAATCAAACATTTCCCAGTGGGCTTACTGATTGGTAAGCACTTCAGGGCCAGTTACCCAGTTTTCAGTTTGGGTATTAGCTCTGCATGTGTACACAGGACACTGCCACCAGTATTGCTCTGAGGACACAGATGGCAGTACCAGTCAAATGCCTCTTGGGGGATCTTCAAGCTGATTAAGGATGATTCCAGTTTAGAAATCCTGTCCTAGATCTCTGGGGCACTAAGAAAATGAGGCTGGTTCTCTTCTCATAGCAGGAGCCAGGGCCAGTCACCCTCCATTTCCAGGCTGGAAAAGTACAGAAGCACCCTGCAATAGCTCTTCATGGCATCAAGGGACTCCACACCCTGGGAGAAGGGTTAGGAGTGTGCAGCTTCCTGCTTTGGTGGCAGGCCTTTTCCTAACATGCGTGTCAGGGGAGTGGAGGCAGCAAATACGCTTGTGTCTAATACATGCCTTGATCTTTTAGTTTGGAAGGGAAAACAAAGTCCAAGATGCTTTTAAGTTGGATTGGTACTGAAACAGCTAAAATTTCATCTTATCCACCATCAAAAAGCAAAACAAAATTAAACAAAACGACACTAGCCATTCACCATTACAACCATCACTATAAGACATACCATCACTGAGGAAATGACAACTATTTCCAAAGGGAGTGCTGGCTGGGAGTGCAGGACACAGATGGAAGTCAGCTTCAGGGTATGCCCACCTATTCACAAGGGCTGACCGTTATGGCACTGCTCTGCATGAGGACACAGGACAGCCAGGGCACAGATGCCTGCAGGACTGAGTGGCCAACAAGATGATGCACATTTTAATATTCAAAATGTAAACAAGGTATCCACAAATAGTCCAAAAAAGCCAAAAAACGGCTTTATTTAAAAATTTTTAAATGTCCTTAAAAGTGACTTTTTGCATAATGCTTTCTTTAAAAAAAAACTTCACAAAAACATTTTTACCAAATATGCCTAGATCAATTCACAACTGAAATCCTCAGATGAAACAGGTGAACACTTCTGTGACCTGCTACATCTCAGAAACTTCTTAGAGGAAGCTTTGGGTTTACCCAACAGCATCTGTCTGGGGCCTGTGAACAGAAGACCTCAGAGCCTGGGGCACTGAGATCTTCAGGCTGTCCTTGGAGCTCTGGGTAGTTTGCAAAACGAGAAGGAGGAAATATCAGTAGGGATAAAGACACAGAACCAGGAAAATACTAAAGATCCCAAAGAGACTAAGAAGGGAGGAATGATCCCAAACATTTAGCATCTGAAAGGCAACTAAAATGAGGAGAGGTGACTAGTACTGTACTATACTGTACTACGCTTCTACTATAATATCCATTACTCCTAGATGTTTCCAAAAATCAAGAAAGGGTTGGGGTTTCCCTTTCTACTGACCAGGTTCTGTATACTCCTGGGGCTTTTACCCCATGCACCAAAACATCAACTCTTTTTATGCATGTACACATATGTGTACACTTGCACACACACTCCTCCAGAATAACTCTGAGAGTATATGGTGGTTTAAAGAGGGAGAGAGAGAGGGTGAGAGGGAGAGAGAGACATGCACTGGGCAAGAGGTCATGGTTTTTCCTGTTCATCTTGGCCAGTCTATCGAATCTGCTGTTTCAGGTCTGGGCTTTCCATGAACAGAAGAAAAGGGAAACAGGCCACTGGAGATTATAAGAGTCTGAAGAGAAGGAAGTCTGGAAAGTCCTTGACAGCTCATTATGCACCTCCCCTGGACATTGCTCAGCTATATAAATAACTGAGGAACACCAATTCTGGGAGTCTGAAAGGGCTGGAAAAACTCCTTACAGACACTCTGTAGAAGATGTTTATTTAGGCAGGTAAACTAAATGATTAAAAAATGTAATTATAAAAAGGTAGAAAGACTGTTTCCTCTACTCTTAAAAAAAAGTTATCCCCCCCACCCAAGAGCATTCATGGGTTTTGTCCCATCTTTGTTCTTATTTAATGCAGTGAGTGAGCATTAAAAACAGTGGTGGGGAGAAAAGGGAACAGTCCAAAACTTTGGTCCTGCTTGTACTTCTTAATGCATGGGATGTCATCATCATAAGGGGTTACCAGGAGTGGATGCCACTCTCTTAACTTCCAGTGCAAATCCTCTCCCACCCTGCCACAATTTCCTGCCCTTCCCTATCATATTGGTAGTGGCACTGCTTCAAGGCAGGGCAGTCTTGATGGAAGAGTCCTGGAAATCCATAACCCTCTCTCAAGCCTCCTCATACTGGTTCATATCACCTGATAAAACACTTTACAACACACAAATATCCAGGAATCACAAAACTGTGTGGATGATATACTTGAACATTCAAGGAAACTAATGAGCAACAGCACAGAGTACACATAATCACTACACCATGAAGACGCTTTTAGCAAGTGGTTTCTGTCCAGCCTGCCTCCTGGCAGTGACGTCAGACCCAACCTTGGCTTCCATACAACTTCACAGCTCCTCTTTGTCCCCAGTCTACCTTTTCTGTATCTTTTATGCTGCCCTGCCATCTGCCCCATCAAACTGTGGCCTCTGACATCATGTTGACAGTCTATGCATTTATTTTCCTCAGTGCTGCAACGAGCCAAAAACCTGTCTCCAGTCTGTACTTAGTCAATCCTTAATAATGTGGACATCAACAAAAGCTAACAGAAAGCAAATCTGCAAGCATCTTCAGTTTTTATGAGCCACAGCAGTGTTTCATGCCAGGCTAAATCTGTTTTCTGTAAGAAGCTACAAGAGGCTTGTTTATGGCAGGTGCTCCTGCGTTAAGAATCTCCATGACAGGCCGGGCGTGGTGGCTCAAGCCTGTAATCCCAGCACTTTGGGAGGCCGAGGCGGGTGGATCACGAGGTCAAGAGATCGAGACCATCCTGGTCAACATGGTGAAACCCCGTCTCTACTAAAAATACAAAAAATTAGCTGGGCATGGTGGCGCGTGCCTGTAATCCCAGCTACTCAGGAGGCTGAGGCAGGAGAATTGCCTGAACCCAGGAGACGGAGGTTGCGGTGAGCCGAGATCGCGCCATTGCACTCCAGCCTGGGTAACAAGAGTGAAACTCCGTCTCAAAAAAAAAAAAAAAAGAATCTCCATGACAGTAGCAAAGCATCCTAAATGGAGTCGCTGTGGGCACTTGCTCTTGGCTGAGGCCGCTCCTGTGGCCTTCAGCCTCCACTAGGAGCTTCCACTCTGAGCAGCTCACATACACTTCCTGGCTGTGGTTGAGATACTGGCAAACACTGTTCTGGGATTTCAATCTCAAAGAAAAATCAGCTTTCAGTCACACCGTGACTTAATGGGAGCCTTTAGGGGTGTCTCTGAGGAAGAAGTTACTAATGCATAATTTGGCAGGAGCTGGTGATTAAAAGTCTCCATTTAAACAACTACAACCACCATCAACATACTGTACAGATTCCTATCAACACCCAACAGTTTTATTTCTGGTGTCTGTGTGTTTTCCAGTTGCAACTCTACTCCTTCTTAAAAAGAATAAATCAAAAAATACCCTACTACATGAACAACAAAACACTGTAAGACAGTGACAATATTATGTACATAAATACTGTGTATAAACTTTAGAGAAATGACAAACCTTCCAGGAAAAGGAAAAAAAAGTCAAGTGTTAACAGTGATAATACAGAAAAGAAAATGTTGCATTCAATGGTGTTAAACATATGTAACAATTCAAATATAATCTATGAAATTAAAAAAAGTAGGCAGCATGGGGGCAACAAGCACTGGGAAGGAAAATAAACTGGAAGAAAATATGGCCATTAAACTCAGAAGGCCCAAAGAATTATTCAAGTAGTGGAAGGGTTAAAACCCTACATGCGTATTCATTTTACAAGAACACACTGACTTTCAATTGCTGCTTTTCAAACATGTCATTGTTGTGGTTTTAGTTGGGAGGACACTGCAGAGCACGATTTTCTGGCAGGGAGAAACAAGAGGCCCACCTGTGTGGATCCCACCGCCCCAGCAGTTTCTGGGCAGCAGCCTCTCCACCCCCAACTTTATGTCTTCCTCCTCTTATCATGCTTTCCTCTACAGAACACCACTTGGATTTCATTCGGAGTCCTCTTTTGATTTCATTTAAAAAATAATTTTCTTGGGGAAAAAACAATAAGGTGAATTTGCAGAGCCAGCTATTACCATGCCTTACTCTAATGATACACTTGAAATACCTAAGACCCTCTTTTAAGGCAAAGTAGAACCTGTCTCCTTCAGGAACTCTGAGGGGCTGCCACTGGATGAAGGCTGAGAGCCCTCTGACCGCTGGCTACCCTTTAGCCCATTCAATGCCTCAGGTCTGGAAACCAAACCATCATCAGAAAGGCGGGGGGACACTTTCAATTCCCAGCTTTATCTCCAGCCCTCCGAATTTGCTTCCTTCCCTCAATCAAGCAACTATGCCTTTTCTCACAGGACAAAAAGAGAAACAGGTGGCAGCCGACTGAAAAACAGCAATTTGCCTTTGATAAAGGTGTTCTCTGAAAATGACTTTTTTTTGAGGTTTAAATAAAAAATGATAAATGTCTTGCCATCCAGATCAATCTCTCTTTCCCCTTACATATACACACACACACACACTGAAAAACCAAACCCTGCATGCGCCAGAAACAGTAAAATGACCAAAATATTATAAAATTAACCAATAAAGTGCATGTTCCTTACATATTACACCTGCCCCTTTTACAAACTTTTCTTCTAGAAAGTCACATGTGTAGGCTCAGAATCACATGGTATTATAGAAGGGGTTGGTTGTCCGTTTTTTGTCATTTGCCTTTTTCAGTCTCCTAAGGGGGTGAGTTCTGCCCTGTTGCTGACGGGGTGCCACGGCTAGCCCTGGGGCTGGGCATGCACACTGCAGTCCCTGGGTCTGTAGCACGGGAAGGCCTCCTTCAGAGCTAGTCAATTCAGGTCCTGCCCTGGGGAGCAAACACTGCTGACTGGAACCAAATTCTTTGGCATACTGCACAAGGGGCCTCTCCACTGGCTTGCTCTGCACAATACACTCTGTTGTTGTGAGTTGTTCTACAAGATACTTGGTGGGCTCTGGGTTGTGGGGGGCACCTGGGTTTTCTAGGGACTCTTGGTCCTCCATGGCGTGCATGCCTGAGTCTGTTCTGAGGAAAGGCTGAAGCAGTTTGAGATGAGAGAATTCACAGGAGGCAGGCTTCCTCTCCGGTAAACAGTCTTTACAGAGGTCCAAGTAACCTAATTTGGCGAGAGAAGCTGAGCGCCTCATTTGGGATGGTTTGGTGAGCCCTGTCTGGAAAACCGCTCGAGTCTCAATTTCTTTAGCACGCTCCTTCACCACACCGGGGCTGTGGCTGATACCCTTTATGTTTTCACTACTAGAGCTATGCGGGAGTCGACAGGCTACAGGTAATGGGTCCAGTTTCTCCTGTAACTCCCCAGTGTTGTCACCAACTTTACTAATTAAACTTAGGTCTTCGCTACTTAGCTGGGAGTCCTTATATGGCACCTCATTGCCACTGAAGAGAGGGCTCTCTTGACTTTCTTCCCAGCTAACCTGCTCTGTGGAGGGCTCATCTGTGGTGCTGCTCTGCTCTGTGAAGCCTTCCAGGTGAACCATAGTCTGGGGATGCAGGTAATCCAAATTGGCAGACAGTAACTGGGTTGCGTGACTGACAAAAGGTGCTGCTATCTCCGGGGCTGTCGACAGGCTGTTGCCTCTGTCTTCAGGGCTACTCAGCATGGAGGTCGGGTGGTCAGTGGGCCTGCTGTGCTCAGGAGAGGAAGAATGAGGCAGAGGTAGCACTTGGGGGTGCAGAGAAACCTGATTGGAGTCCACAGTCCTGTTTAGATTTTCATCCAGTGCGCAGAGCACAGTGACAGATTTTTCCACTTTCACATTCCTCAGTCCTTGCTCTCCGTTCTTCTCACTGGTGGCTATTTCATTCCCTGGCCCAGTGTGATCGGGTGATGTAATTGTATACTCAATGATTTCTACCCTCTTGGGAAGAGGAAGAAGGACTGCCTGTGTCTCAGACTCCTGGTATGGAATCACAGTCCTTAGATCCTTCAGGACTCCTTCCTGCTGTGTTCCAGTATCTGACCCTTGGCCCTCCTGAGGAGCTGGCAAGTGGTCAAACTCTGGTACCTTGGGAGCTGGAACAGTGACATTCTGCTCAGAATGGGACAGCGAGCCAGCCTCAGACCCACTGTATTTCCCTTTGCCTTTGCTCATCTCTGGTTCCTTGGGGACAAATGAATGTTCTGGGGTAGCTTCATCACTTTTCCCTTTTGGTGCTAGGTCTGCCACAGAAGAATCATTCTTTGAATTCTTACGAGTGGACAATGAGGTACATGTCGGGGCAGCACCATGATGCTCTTGCTCCTGCCGTAAGCGCTCTTCGAACTCCAAGGTGGCTCGCCTCACAGACCCAGGGTACCACTTGGCACCTGGGTGCATCCCTGAGGCCTGGAGCTCTTGTTCTCCCTCAGCTGGTTCCTCTTCTTCCATGTCTGCTATAGATGAGTGTGTGATTAGGCAGCCTTCTTGGTTGCACATCCCTGAGTCTTTGGCTACTTCAGGCTGGGCTGTGCAGGAGCCCTCGTCTTGCTCCACATGTCCAGGTTTGTTCTCTGGGGTCTGGGCCCTCTCAAGGGGCAGCTCATGGATGCTGTTCTTCTTTGGTGTATGGCATGGGTTGGATAAGATGTCTCCTTTCAGTTGAACCTGTCCAACTCCTTGGCTGATGGACTCAATTTCAGTGACAATTTCTTTGACTGAAATTGCATTTTCTGAGTGAGACTGCATGAAGATGTCTGGGCTGACAAGTTCTGAGATTGCCTAAGAAAAGAAAGTAGTGAGATGATTATGGAGAATTGTAGTCTAATTGAAAATGCTGGATTTTCTGCTTATTAATCCTCTGATCCAGGACAACCTATCTGGCTATGAGAATACAAATCAGGCGGTGCCTGGGACCATACTCTGCCCATCTGTTTTGTCAGACTACAAGAAAAAAACTGAACTCAACAAAATTTGTTATAGATTATGATACTGTCTACCAAACTTTCTGTTCTGTTTACTCAAGCAGAATTCCAATCCAATGAACAGCAAATACCTTCGGAGGCGCCTATAATCTATATCTCCCTAAGGCTATGAGCCTCCAGAATTCAGGCCATATGGTGGTAAATGAAACGTTTCCCTTATGGCCTATCAACTTCCAGTTTGATCCTAACCTATCTGAGGGAAAGTGTTCCGTTCAAGGGCTAAGTGGCCTGCTTAGATATGTCCCGGTGATAGGGCAAGATGGACGAGGCTGTCATCTGATGTCTGATTTGGAGACTCACTGCTCTCTTTGCTCCTCCGTCTTGCTAGCATTCACCTACATCCTCTCACTGCTTCCCTTAGCAGCAGCATCCCAGTACTTACAAGCAGGGACATACACTATCTGACTACACAATCTCTAAGTTTTACATGGATCCTTCTGGGAATGGTTTACTTGGCTTACACAGCTATATTCCTTAGCAAACTTAGAAACCATAACTCTCTAATTTTACTATTTTGCCAGTTACAAATTCCCAGAGGGATTTAGAACAAGGGCAAAGAATACTAACCAATGCAAAATCAGGTACTACTGTAAAAAAACAAAACAAAAACTCAAAATCTGGGAATGATCCTTGGATACCTCTTAAAGTAGTTATCATTATGAATATTAATCTAGTTAACATTTTTATAAGCCTTCAAAGTATATTTCCCTGAGAACTGCTCTGGTCTTTCTCTTTCAAAAGAGAGTCAGAGTTAGTACAAGCTAACAAGGTCACTAATGCCTTTGGAGGAAATGTGACATGACATCAGGCAGAGGCAAACTTGCCAAGACCGGGAGAGAAGCCATAGCGGACCCAGTATGTGCATGGGCCATGGAGGGAGTGCTCATATGACCAGGGACTTTGCAGAAAGGCTATTTCTGTCAGTGCTGCTACAGTCACTGGCCCAAGGGAGAGCATATGCATTCTACCTTCTCAGTAGAAAGGAAACAGAGGCACAGCCTTGGGAGTGGTGAAAAGACACAAGCAGAGGCAAGAATCACAGTGGGGTAGTTAAGGAGAGAGAACAAATCAGTAATGGACAAAGTGGTATATCTAAGTAGATGGACATCAGGAGATGCAAAGAATCTACCTAGCTCCACTAAAATCATTAAATGAAGTTTGGTATGTTAGAGTCAATGTGTCACAGTTTATTCCTCCAACTACTGTGTCGTATTGATTTAAGACACTATTGTTTATAAGATGCATCACAATGCCATAAATGTCAAAATATGAGTAAGTGTGAGTCTTAGAACTGTTCAGTCAGGACACTTGTTTGGCTAACCTTTTCCTCTGTCATCCCCTCTTAGAAGTGCTTCCAATGACACCAGAAAGATAAAATTCCCAAAAGGCAAATTATTTAAAAAATATTTAAACCTTAAGTTTCTAAGGAAAATCTTAGCCAGACACTCCATCTAAAATAAACGTAACAAAATCCAAAATGCTTTGCCTTTGAAGAGAACGTCATTAGGTGAAAAACTATAGAGACAGTTTTTACCTTTGACTGTTCCTCATCCATTGAAGATTCTTCTGATGCATGGGGAGTATTACTCAAAGAGCTGCTTCTCTGGTCATCAGCTGTCACTTTGGAAGGGGCTACTTCTATCACTGACAGTCGACAGCTCTCACTCCTTCCTCCACCCAGTTCCTCCATCCTTGAATGGGAAAAAGATCGTGACCGGGTTTCTTGGGAGAGCTCCACAAACTTCTCTAGGGCACTAAAAAAGTCAATGCGATCTGTACTGAAATCTGAGATTTCAGTCTGGCAACTGGGCTGGGGGCTTGGTGACTCAGGATCAGGGGACATAGGGAGGTCTTTCAGTCGAGATGTCAATTCTTCCATAGGCAGTAGGTGGACATTCATGTCTGCTTTCAGTGCGTCTGTCTCCAAATCTTCCACTGTTAAGTCTGGAAACTTGTTGGCCATTTCTGGGACATGTCCAGGCTGAATTAAGGCTTTGGATGCATGGCAGTTGTCAAGAGGAAATTTTGATTCATTCAGACAACACCCTGATGAGCATCCATTGATGTCATTTAAATTTAATTCATCCTCAATCTGTCCAGCATGAAATTCCCTCGAAGTAAACTCCAAGCAGATCATTCTTTCTTTGGTACACAGGTCTTTCTGATTTGCATCTTGTGGGATTACATGTTCCACAAAGACAGGAGGTATGGATGGGTGACTGTCCATGGTTTTTACCTCAGCAATCTGGTCTGCTGAGGTGGTGATCTCCTTCTTGTTGAGTTCTAGCCCAGGTTTGCAGATGGGTTCGTGGTGGTCTGAGAGGTCACTATCTGAATGAGATCTCCATAGTTTGTTATGCCGCTGTTTGCTGTGGAGGACATACACAGAAAATAATCTAGCTTGTAAAGATAATCAACACCCTCTCAGGAAAAACACTCTCAGATAAATCTTAACTTGCAATGCTTTGTTATTGCTCAATGGAACTACACAATAAATGTTTGAAAAGACACTCAATAGCAAAAAAACAAAGCAAAACAATAACAAATGAATGTGAGATCTGATTTTTTTTACCTAATCAGACTGACAGGAATTAAAATGGTTGGTAACAGCAAGTGTCGATGACAGTATGGCCAAACAAGCTCTCTCATACACCGCTGGCAGGAGGAGTGTGAATTGCAGAATTTTCGTGTTTCGTTTCTTTCTGACAGTCTCGCTTTGTCGCCCAGGCTGTAGTGCAGGGGCATAATCTCAGCTCACTACAACCTCCGCTTCCCGATTCTAGCAATTCTGCCACCTCAGCCTCCAGAGTAGCTGGGATTACAGGAACATGCCACCACGCCTGGCTGATTTTTGTCTTTTTAGTGCACATGACGTTTTACCATGTTGGCCAGACCTCAACTGATCTGCCCACCTAACCTCCCCCCCGCCGACACACACCTGGCTGAATTGTAGAATTTTAAAGATTGAAATCTGGCAATAGCTCTTCAAATTTAACCCTCTAACCAAAAATTCTTAATACATTTTTCTTGGAGAAATACTACTACAAGTGCACACAGATATCTATATGGCTGGGCGTGGTGTCTCACACCTGAAATCCCAGCACTTTTTGGGAGGCCAAGACAGGCGGATTGCTTGAGCCCAGGAATTTGAGCCCAGCCTGGGCAACATGGTAAAACCCCATCTCTATAAAAAATTAAAAAATTATTCAAGGGTGGTGGCGTATGCCTGTAGTTTAGCTACTTACGGGGCTGAGGTGGGAGGTTCACTTGAGCCCATGATGATGAGGCTGTAGTGAACTGAGATTGCACCATTGCACCCAGCCTGGGTGACTGAGCAAGACATTGTCTCAAAAAAATAAGAAAATAGAAAAGATATATAAAGATATTTACTGGCCAGGTGTGGTGGCTCACACCTGTAATCCCAGCACTTTGGGAGGCTGAGGCAGGTGGATCACTTGAGGTCAGGAGTTCGAGACCAGCCCAGCCAATGGTGAAACCGCCTCTACTACAAATACAAAAATTAGCTGGGTTTGGTGGCAGCTATCTGTAATCCCAGCTACTCGGGAAGCTGAGACAGGAGAATTGCTTGAACCTGGGAGGCAGGGGTTGCAGTGAGCCGAGATCATGCCACCGCACTCCAGCCTGGGCCACAGAGTAAGATTCTGTCTCAAACAAAGATATTTACTATAATACTACTTGTGATACTAAAAGATGAGACATCAAACAAAAAAAAATTATTTACATTATAAACCATACAACTATATGCTATGAAGCTGTTAAAAACTGTCAGGTCTACATAACTCTTCTGTGATAAGAAAAAAAAAAATTAAAACAAAAAGGAAAAATAACTTGTCTGGTATTTTAGTAGAATGATATACAAGGTATACTATTAAGTAAAAAAGAACCTCAAACACATTTGAAATTAGCGTCCATGTTAGAATAATGTAGGAAAAAATCTGGAGGAACATTACCAAACTGATAGTGATTCTTTCCAGAAAGGTAGAAATACTTCTGGGGAAGGCTATTACTTTCTACATTTTACACACAGGCACACACACACACGCACAGGGTCTCACTCTGCCACCACCCAGGCTGCAGTGAAGTGACAAGATCACAGCTCATTGCAACCTCAACCTCCTGGGCTCAGGTGATTCTCCTGCCTCAGCCTCCCTAGTAGTAGCTATTTAAAAAATTTTTTTTTATGGAGATGGGGGTCTCACTATGTTGCCCAGTCTGGTCTCAAACTCCTGGATTCAAGTGATCCTCCTGCTTTGGCCTCCAAAAGTGCTGGGATTATTGGTGTGAGCCACCAAGCCTGGCCTCTATATTTTTATAATTTTTGAATTTAAAAAACAGGCAAGTTTAACAAATATAATCAGAAAAACCCCACTAAAATCAAAACATACAAGTAACACAAAGGGAATACTCTGTTGGAACCTATTACGAAGTCCTCATAACTGGAATGAAGAGCTGATGTAGCTTAATGACTGACGTGGGGTGTGAAGAGCATGGTAAGCATTCTGGAATCAGAAAGCAGAGGAGGGGCTGGTAAACCTGGAGAGAAAACTTAGTAACAGAATGAAGGGAATAGCATAAAGGATAGGCCCTTTCAGAAGAATCTCTGGACAAAAATCATTAAGCTAAGGAGACACATGGAAAAGCAGCAGGCCAAAGGAAGACTCCCTCTACCACCCTGCATCCTTTATTTTATGAAAGAGGTTTGAGATAGGGAGATTTCATTTCAAACCACATACTCTTAAACAGTTCCCAAAACCCCAGCCAAAAAGAGAAAGCTGGCTCTGTGGTCGGTCAGGTTCATCTGCCCAGGAAACAGGTCACTAAGTGTGGTGCTTGGGAGTGTGGTCTCCATGGCTTACAAGCTGATGAGGAGTTACCAAACCGCAGGGTGGAATGGGAAACTCAGCCCAAAACAACTTGCCCCGGGCTCCGGGCCACGCCCGGGCTCTGCCGAGTCATGCTCAGGCGCCTGCACTAATCTGACCCCCTGTTTGTTCTCAACTCTGCACCTGCTCTCAGCTCCCCCTGCCTGTCTGCTGCTTGGGTGGGGCTCTCTCTGACTCATGCCTGCAGAGTAGAGGGGTGCTTTCCTGGGAAGGAGCAGGTCAGTCTTTTTATGAAGACAAGCTGTAATCAATCAGCTGGGTGTAAGATGGGGTTTTCACCCTTTCCAAGCTGCATGAACTCCAGCCACCCCTAGGAGGAGACAACATATCACACATCTCAAACAGTGAGTGGCTGTGGGGAGGGCAAGCTGACTGTTTGGATAGGTGGGTCCTAAGTTGTACATTATGACCAACTGAGGCCAGTGGTTTCCTTTCAAAGTTTCTTCTCTTATATGCAAACATCCTCATTTCTTGAAATAAATATGACCTATCATGAGGATGTTCAAACCTGCACCAGCTTCTTTCACCCACCATAGTAGGACAATGCCTGGGATGCAAATGACTGGGAAGACCTCTCATCGGGTAGCTATTCTCACTCCTCTAATAATAGAACAGGCAAATGAGAAGTTTCATGATCCCAAAAATCCTCCAAAGTATGTTTTTTTAAACTGCCTGGAGATCACTAGTCAGGAGAGAATGAGAGACTGAAGTTATGCTAATAGGCACAAACAGTACATGCTTCAGAGGAAATCTAACATCACAGCTGTACAGCCAGCAGGGATTTCCTTCTCTTCCTTAGGGAGATAGTAATCAGAAAACAGTGGGTTGGGCTCTGGAATTAAGCTGACACTTGTAAAAGAGAGAGAGAGAAAAAAACAATCTAAAGATAGGTCTGATGCTGCTGTCTTTTTTTCATTTTTGCAATAGGACCTGGAGGGAGAATGGCAAGGAGCTGATTCATCTCCAACACTGCTACTCCACGTGTCCCTTCTCGCTCAGGGGTCCCCTCCCCAGTCCTCCCCACTCAGGGGTAACCTCCACTCTGAATTTTATGCTTATCATTCCCTTTTTTTTTCTTTATAGTGTCAACATGTTTTGTTCTTAACTAAATACTGCTTTGTTTTGCATGTCTTGAACTTTATATAAATGGTGTCACACTGTATGTATTCTTCCTCAATGGATTTTTTTAAAAAAGATTCATCACTGTGTATAAATGTAACCCACCAGAGTGTAATGAGTATGATACAATTTATTTCCCTTTTGTTGATTCAAGTGATTCTCCTGTCTCAGCCTCCTCAGTAGTTGGGATTATAGGTATGTACTATCATGCCTGGCTAATTTTTGTATTTTTAGAAGAGATGGGTATCACCATGTTGGACCAGGCTGGTCTCAAACTCCTGACCTCAAGCAATCTGCCCGCTTCAGCCTCCCAAAGTGTTGGCATTACAGGCATGAGCCACCATGCCTGGCCTCATCATCAGTTTTAGTCCGTTACACTAAACCATTTTCCAGCGAAGCTTTGTCCTGGGCCAATTTATTCTAACACTTCATCACTGGTAGGAATAGATGTAAGACATTAGATCATATCTATTATTTTAAACTGTTAAATTTTAAACCCAGCTGACTCCCCACCTCCCACCCTCTTCCAGGCAGGCAGCAAATAAACAGCTTGCCAGAAAAGGAACTTCAGAGTTGGTCTATATCCTGGATGATGTAACCAAGTCTCAGATCCTTTTCCCCCTTGAGTGGCCTCTGACCTGAATTTGGATTCATATAAAAACACAGACATACATAAGGTGATTAGGTCATTCTGGGAAAGAATTGGCCTTTTACCTAGTTAATGAACAGGGAAGAAATTCTATTTTTATTTTTAAATATTTTAAAATTGTCAACCTTGTGCAGGGGCCATGCTAATCTCTGTATAGTTCCAATTTTAGTGTATGTGCTGCCCAGGCGAGCACAAGAAGAAGGAAATTTAAATGACGATGTATAAGGTGTTCCATTATCTAGCCTCCACTTTCATGTTGTTACATGTTTGGTGAAACATCAACTCTGAGAAGTTATATAAAGGAAAAGGCTGCTAAAAATGGAGTACTTGCATCTGTAATCTAGCTACTCAGGAGGCTACAGCATGATGACTGCTTGAGCCTAGGAGTTGAGTGAGACTAGCCTGGGCAATGTAGACATTGTCTCTTTGAAGAAAAAAAGGTGGGGGCAGGACTTACAGTAAAATCATGCTGTCTATAGTTATTTTTTTTTTTTTTTTTTTTGAGATGGAGTTTTGCTCTGTCACCATGCTGGAGTGCAGTAGTGTGATACCAGCTCACTGCAACCTCTGCCTCCTGGGTTCAAGTGATTCTCCTGCTGCAGCCTCCCGAGTAGCTGGGACTATAGCCCTGTGCCACCATGCCCAGCCGGTTTTTGTATTTTTAGTAGAGAAAGGGTTTCACCATGTTGGCCAGGAT